GAGCACCGATAAACACGGCCCTAGATAAGCCTCTGCTTAGCGGCAGTTAGAATCACAGCCGTGCCATTGGTACCTTTCCTGAATGTCACTTACCCCAAGTGGGCTTTTGGCGTCCAGTGGCCACAGCCTCCTCGTTTGGTCTCCCCCGCTCTGGTTTTGTGACACAGACAATGACAGTGGCAGATGGGGAGCCACAGCTCCATTTTCTTTCCCCGTTCCCAGTTGCACACAAGAAAGGCACCATCTGGAAGGGAGAAGGTCAGGCTGTTAAAAATATATATGGTAATAAATTGCCAAGGCCTGACGGGCTGTGGGTGTGCAGGGGAAGGAGGGAGGGGCTGGGGTGAGATATGGAGGTGGGGGCTGTGCGTTTACCTGTCTGGCTGTCAGGGGGGTGAGCTCCGTGGGTCTCCTGCCTGGCAGAGGAGGGTCTGTTTCCTTGTGAGTTCCCTGAGGGCAGGGACAACATCTCAAATTGCGTCCTGTTTATTTACCACCGGGCCTTAACTGAGAGGCAGCAGGGCGGCCGGTCGGTTTCCCGCGGTGTGTGGGCATGCTGTGTATCATGCCCTGTGGCTTCTTTTCTTCATTTCAGCTTCCCCAGCACTTTGGGGATCCCCAAAGTGAGGATGAAAGGATGTAGTGTTTTGGTGTATATTGTGCTGAGGTCCCCTTGCCTGATGGGTCTCTCACACTCTGGCTTTTTTTCTGTGGCAAGGCTAGGTTTTATGGAACAGTTTCCAGGGCCCAGAGTGTGAAGGGCTACTTCTGGGCCCGTTAGGAAACACAGTCAATTCTGAGCCCTTCAGGCAGGGATAGGAGCCCTCAGGGTAAGCAACCAGCTTTGTGTGTTAAAGGAAGTGTTCAGATTCTCAATGTCTGGTTACACGTGTGTTTCACTCCAACCCCTCTGGCCCTGCTGGGCTTTGGGCTGGGCTACTCTTGGAGGTGGTTCCTTCTTACACAGATCAGCCTTTCATTTTGCCTTGGTATCTTTTCTTTCACAAAAGCGAGTCGTATCAATGGGGTACGTTAGACACCCATGCAAAGTGAGGCTCCAAGAGAAAGGTCATGTTCAGATTGCCCTTGGTTATTGGTGTGTGATCGGTAGTATCGCTGGCACCATGTGAGTGGTTATTGGTGTGTGATTGGTAGTATCGCTGGCACCATGTGAGTGGTTATTGGTGTGTGATTGATAGTATCGCTGGCACTATGAGTGTTTGTGTGAGGGAAAGTTTTGGCCCTCATGAGTCATTGGCATTATAGGGAACCTCCTGTCCGCACATGCATGCACTTGTACACTCAGGCTCACACACAGGCTCACACATAGGAATAGAGAAGCCTGTTCCTTCAGTTATAATGGGTAGTGCCTCATGAACTCATCTTGAGTTGAAAACATCTGAAGGGGAAACTGCATTTAACCTCTTACCTCCCACACATCACAATTTAGCCCAGCTGACCTTTAGCATGCCTAGGTCATTTCCATTAGCCCCGGGTTGGGCAAAATGATTTCTTAATCAAGTGTGTGTGCACTGTGTATATAAATAAGTGAGGTTGAGCTTGGCTGTGGAACACTTGCCCTAGCATGCCTGACATCCCAGGTACCATCTCTAGTAATGCAAGCAAACCAAACTAGGCATGCGTGGACACATTCACACATGCACAAATGCACACACACACACACACACACACACTGACGGGTGTGGGGAAATGTGACAAGATCCAAAAAGGCAACATCCAGAAATGCCTGGTGTGGTTGGTGAACTCAAGAGTTCAGTTGTTTATCCAGGGTGGCCTGGAGCTGGCTGTCCAGCATCCTGAGAGATGATGCCTCCTAGTGCCCATCCAGGGAAAGATCAAAGCTCAGAATCAAAGGCTGGTCTCTGCTTTCCCACCACCGCAAAGTAGACGGGCTTAAGTTGAATCGTCCCAACCCGGAGACACTTGCAGTGCTAAAGGGATGTGACAACTCTGACAGAGGCTGGGTGGAGGCACAGCTAGGCAAGGCTTTTAGGAGAGGAGCCGGCTGCCGAGTTGGGTAGAGGGGCAGCGTTCCACGCAAAGGGACATCCAGAGCTGCGTGATGAAATTGCTGTGGAGCCTGGTGACCAGGAGATTAGGCTGAGAGGGAGGGACAATCCTTGTGGCTCTTCCAGAAGAGTCTGGGCCTGACTCCAAGGAGTCCAGGACTTTTTAAACATTTTCAAACAGGGAGCAATGGGATGCTCTGTGGAGTTGTTTCAGGCTGGCCTTGGAGGCTGGGTGGAGGGCAGCTCACGTATCCAAAGGCAGGGGCAGCATGGGCCTGGGCCCTGCTTCCTGTTTGCCACCAAGGAGGGGTGTGGGACTTAGGGAGGCTGCTGTCCCAGTAGTTCAGTTGATGACCCCCTCATAGTCCAGAGCTACAGGTGCCCTCAGGTGGGCATCTCCAGGGGCAGAGCTAGCATTGCTGTGTCAATAGGCCTCTGTGAGAGTGGCATTGGGACTCTGGTTCCAGCTAGTTTGGTACAAAGAATACAGTTATAGGAGCACAGCAGAGCCAAGTCCCCGGGTGGGTACTGCCACCCGCCACACTCAATCCCTGTGTGTCAGTGTCACACATATATGGTGGTGATCACTGTATCCGCGTTGTGCTACTGTGAACACTGGCCGGGTGGAGCCACAGCCCTAGTATATATTTTATTAGTTCCTTTTCTCATTGTTATGACATAAACAAGAAAGAAAGAAAGGTTTTCTCCTCCTTCTCCTCCTCCTCTGCCTTCTTCTCCTCCTCCTCTGCCACCTTCTTCTTCTTCTTCTTCTTCTTCTTCTTCTTCTTCTTCTTCTTCTTCTTCTTCTTCTTCTTCTTCTTCTCCTCCTCTGCCTTCTTCTTCTCCTCCTCCTCCTCCTCCTCCTCCTCCTCCTCCTCCTCCCCCTTCTCACAGTTTGAGGGATGCATTCCATCATGGAAGGGAGGGAAGTCATGGCGGCAGGAAGGTGAGGCAGCTGATCACACAGCATCCCCAGTCAGGAAGCAGAGAGGACACGGGTGCTCAGCTGGCTTCCTCCATTTTACTCAGTCCTGGGCCCCAGCCTGTGGGATGGTGCCGCCGACCTTCAGGGTGGGTCTTCCCTCTTACCCAGTCTAGAGACTCCCTCACAGATGTGCCCAGAGGTTTGTTTCCCTGGCGAGTCTAGATCCTGTTAAGTTGGCAATCAGTGCCCACCATCACAGCTTGATGCCCACTGACACATGGGCATACACAGCCTGTGTGGGGCATCCCTGTCACACTGGATGGCTGTCCTGGGCTGGTGTATAAGAAAGGAAGGCTCCTTAGTCGGCAGAATCCCTGGGTCTGACGTAAGCTTGTTCATTCCCTCCTCCTTCTCATTCATTCATGACAATAGTTAAAAATTTGTTTCTTTGTACACGGGGGTTTGCCTGCATGTGTGTCTGTTCATGTCTGGGCCTGGTGCCCAAGGAAGCCAGAAGAGGGCTTTGGATCCCTTGGGACTGGAGTCATAGACAGTAGTGAGCCATCATGTGGGTCCTGGGAATCAAACCTGGGTCCTCTGGAAGAGCAGCCAGTGCTCTTAGCCTCTGAGCCATCGCTCCAGTCCCCATTCATTCATTCTTGGAGCCCATGTATCCTGAACTCATAGTCTGTGCCGGGCACTGCTGTGGGGACAGTGGTGAATGACACAACCCAGACCCTGTGCACCGCTTCCAGCCTAGGGACGTGTGGAGACAAACCACTAAGGTACCTGAGTGGAGATGATTTCAGACGGGCAGAAAGGCACCGAGGGAAATGAGACAGAGTCTTCAGTGGGTCCTCAAAGGGGGCGGCCATAGCCAGGGTGGTCAGAAAGGGCTTCTCAGAGGAGGCTACCCGTGAGCAGACCGCCCTCCTCACCATGAAACGAGAAAGCACCAGTTGCTGGCGTAGATCCGCCCCCATTTCTTTAATGTGAAGCCCAAGACCACACACAAGCATCTCATCCAGTCCTTGAAAACAAGAACCTTTTTATTTCTTGTTCCAAAACTGCATGAAGGCATGGTTATCAACCCTACTCCACCCTCAACAGACAGGGCTCACATAGTCCAGGCCTAGACCTCACCTTGTAGCTGAGGATAACCTTGAACATCTGCTCCTCCTGCCTCCGTGTCTGAGGGCTGGACTGTGGGTGTATGCCTGGTTCATTCCATGACGGGGGTGGAACCCAGGGCCTCGAACCCAGGGCCTCCGGCATGCTAGGCGAATGCTCGCTCTACCAACTGAGCCACATCTCCAGCTTCATGATCTCTCTCTCTTTTTCTTCATCTCTCCTTTCTTTTATGTGGGATGCGTGTGTATGTACGAGTGAACTCACCTGCGCAGGCGTATGTGAAGGCCTGAAGTTGACATTGTGTGCCTTCCCTCTGCCACTTTTCTCCTTGGTTTTTGAAGCAAGGTCTCTCTGAAGTTGGATCTCTCTCTCTCTCTCTCTCTCTCTCTCTCTCTCTCTCTCTCTCTCTCTCTCCTCTCTCTCTCTCTCTGTCTAGACTGGATGGCCATGGAGGCCCTAAGATCTGTCTGTCTGTCTCTACCCTCTATCACTGGGGTTACAGATACTGTCACACCCAACTTTTACATGAGTGCGGAGGATTTGAACTCAGGTCCTCACACTTGCCCAGCAAGTACTTAATCCACCAACAATCTCCCCTACCCAGTCACCCCTTCATTGGCAAAGGAATTGAGGTTCAGGGGGTTGTGGTATCCTTACAGGTTGCTCCATGGTAGGGTCAAGCTGGGACTCTGTTCTCAGGTTTCCCAGATCCTTGCCTGTGGTCCACAGCCAACTCCAGACTGGGCTTCATCTCAGACCAAGAGGCATGTTGGGAGGGGGACTGATCAGGGCAATAAGGTCACCATGGGACCTGGCCCACTGGGGTCGGTGGTGATTCTCAGGGTTGGGGGCCAGTCACCACCTGCCGGGGCTCACACTCACTAGCTTCGTCCACCTCCTTCCTCTCGCTGCAGGGGAGGAGAACCAGCCAGGATGGCTGTGTCCCGATGAGGACAGGAAAACCAAAGCCCCGTTCTGGTGCCCCACCCTGGCCTGCTGCGTCCCTGCCTTCTCCTCCCGAGCCCTCAGCCTGCAGGTGAGTGGACCTGGCACATGGTGCTGTGGTGGCCCTGCCCAGCCTGGGAGAACCAGTGTCCAGGTAGCATCTGCTGCAGCTGGAAAAGTCCAGCATCTCAGTCCAGCTAACTGACCCAGGGGGCCAAGCCTTTTTTTTGTCGTTCTGTGAGTCAGTATTCCCATCAAAAGAAAGGGTGTGTATGAATGACCAGCATGGGCCATGGGGTGGAAAATTCCATTATTTTGTAATAGTGAATACCAGCAACCTCATCTGTTGAAGGCCTGACTTGGGACTGTGCCCAAGTTGATGCCACTAGGCCAGTGCTGACTTTGGTGGTGACTTCCCTTCTCCCGGGATGCTCCGTGGTCATCACACCCTCTCACTTGCCCACTATTCCCTTCTTGTGTTTAGCTGCACTTCTTGTAATAGTGATTAGAACAGAATTTCACAGGAGATAAAAGCCCAGACAGGTCTTCCAAAATGACAGCCAATAAGGGGTTGGTTCAGCTTGATTATAGTTTCCATGGTATTAACCACCAGGAAGCTCGCCCCATCCCCCATCCGTCCCTTGTCCCTTATGTCCTGGCAGAGCCCACCCCTCCATCTGGAGCAACTGTTGTCTATCCTCTCCCAAGCAGATGAGGACCCTGAGCTCTGGGACGGGCGAGCGAGCGTGGGACCCAGCACAGATAAATAGTCGCAGGAGCCGTGCGGGCTGGGCTGTAGGACTGGGGCTCTAAGAGCTGAAAGAGCCCCCGTGCGATGTAAGTTCATCGTTCATTCCTTTACTCATCTGTCCGTTCACAGGTCATCCCTGAGCACCTACTGTGCGCTAGAATTGGGAATGCAGTGGTGACCAGGACGTATGAGGTTCCCACCTCCTGCAGCCTGCAGTCTAGTGGGCAAAGACAGGCAGGGACCTCAGCACACAGAAGGGAATTGAAGGGAATGCATGAGTGTAAAGCAGAGATACGGCAGGCATGGAAATGGGGACCGCACGGTTCGTGGGTGCAGGGAGGGCCCCTTGGAGGAGGTGGCATTAAACAGCAGAGCCACACAGCAAGAAGGACACAGACCCCAGGGGGCCCAGGGGGATCCATTTTGTAAGTAGTCCAATCAATACAGAGCAGACAAATCAAGGGTCTGGCAGGAAACAGGATGGAGCTTAGTTGTCTCTTAAAGGGGCCTTCTTCTAGACCTGTGAACAGTGGCCATTAAATTTCAATGTGGGTTCTGGAGGGGACATTGAGGCTGTTGCTGTGGGTGATGAGGTCTGTCGCTGGGTGAGGGAGACCATGACAGCCTTGTAGTGTTTCATTCTTGAAGCCCTGATGGACCCAAGCCAGGTAATGGTGGCATCTGGATCTTTATTTGAATCCTTGGAGGCGGGGCCATATGGACAGAAGAAGAGACTGAGATAGCTGAACAAGACTTGTAGCTCAGTCCAGGGGCCTGCCAGAGGTGGAGTCTGGCTGGGACTTGGAGGCCAGGGCTTGGGGCCAGGGCAAAGTAAGAAAGGTTCTCACTTCTGCAGAGTGAGGCCTCACCCAGCCTCTGATCAGGATAGAGTAAAGCCATGTACTACTTAAAGTTTATTTAATTTTTTTCTAGAGATTTATTCATTTTTATTTTATGTGTATGGGTGTTGTGCTGGCATATATGTGTGTGCACCACCTGCATGCCGTACCCACAGAGACCAGAAGAGGGCATCAGATGCCCCTGGAACCGAAGTTACAGATGGTTGTGAGAGGCACCATGTGGATGCTGGGAATTGAACCTAGGCCTCTGGAAGAGCAGCTAGTGCTCTTAACTGCTGAACCACCTCTCCAGTCTCCCATGTAATCATTTCTTTTTTCTTTCTTTCTTTCATTCATTCTTTTTTTTGTTGTTGTTGTTGGTTTTTCAAGACAAGGTTTCTCTGTGTGGCTCTGGCTGTCCTGGAACTCCCTCTGTAGACCAGGCTGGCCTCAAACTTAGAGATGGGATTAAAGGTGTGGGCCACCACTGCCCAGCTTTCCCATGTAATACTTAAAAAAATTATCCTTCAGAGTATGGCCTGTAGGTGTGTTTTTTAAGGGAATAATGAAGGACTGAGGGTTACCTGTGGGCCTTGGTGTGGAAGCCAGAGTCCATGGAGAGGAGACTTTTAGGCTCTGTACTGTGTTACTTACACAAAGCTGGCCCTGGAGTGTGGCCTCTGCAGTGGGGACTGGAGTCTTCCGTCACCCCCAGGATCTTAGGGTTTCCTGATACGTAGGTCACACCCTGGGTCAGACATGGATGGTGGAGTCCCTAAGTGGGTTTCTGTTTCCAGAGTCTCCTTGAAAGAACGGACACCTGATGGGAACCATCTGCCCTCCTGAACCTGGGAGGATGAGCAAGGGCCTGTGTATCTCCTCTCTTGGAGCTGTTGGGGCTCTAGAACATGTGGGCTGGCAGTGCTCAACCCATGCTCAGTTGGTCCCAAGGAGCCCCCATGTCAGCTGAGAGAGCCATGCGTGAATCTCTGTGGGTAATGGGCCTGGAGGCAGGGGTTCCTGGGGGACCTGCCAGAGCCTGTCTGGCTGTATTTTCTGGGCTCATCTGGCTCTGCTTTGCCCACCTCCTACCTAGCCCAGACAGCTGTGCCCCATCAGCCCAGTGCTGGCAGCCGGATGAATTAGAGCGGAGACGGCCAGCCTTGTCCAATTACTGTGGGAACAGATGTGTATGTGGGCAGCTGCCCAGGCTTCTCTCCCACTTATGCAGGCTCTCAGGTGGCCACATGAGCTGGCAGCAAGCCTATTTCTTCTCTTGGAAGGCTGGAGTTGGGCAAGGGAAGTGCTGGCCCTGCCTCTTTCCTGGGCAGACAAGACCCTGACCTGTAGCTGCTAGGTGACGTGTGTGCTGGGCTGTATCCTTGCTGGGGGTTGAAGAGCAATGCTCTTCTTGGAGCTGACAGCCGTGCCCATGCTGGGCCATGCCAGACCTCTGGTCGGCAAGGGAACTGGTTGTGGGGGAGTGTGAGAGGAATCTGACTGGGGGTCTTCCTGCCCTCGTTATATCCCAGCCTGGAATGCCCCAGTCATGTGACACTAGAAAGCTGTTGTAGCTCATAGTATAAAGCCACATCTTTGTTTGTTTGTTTTTTTTTTTCGAGACAGGGTTTCTCTGTGTAGCTTTGGTGCCTGTCCTGGACCTTGCTCTGTAGACCAGGCTGGCCTCGAACTCACAGAGATCTGCCTGGCTCTGCCTCCTGAGTGCTGAGATTAAAGGCGTGCGCCGCCGCCGCCGCCGCCGCCGCCGCCGCCGCCGCCGCCGCCGCCACCACCACCACCACCACCACCACCTGGCTAAAACAATATCTTTAGTAGCAACTAGAGAGGCCATTGAGACCCCTGGCTGGTCACAGTGAGGATTAAATGATATGGTTGAGGGTCTGGGGAGATGGCCTAGTGGTAAATGCTTACCATGCAAACATGAATTCCATCTCTAGCACTCATGTAAAAACGATGGGTGTATAGTGTGGACCTGTAGTAATCCCAATGTGGGGAGACAGAGCTGGGTGGGGCTCTAGGCACAGTGAGGTATCCTGTCTCAAAAAATCCGGTGGATGGTTGTAGCACAAATCCTAATTGTTCTTAATAAAAACCTGGAGCCAGATATCGGGGTAAATGCTGAAAGATCAGAGAGACAAAGGAACAAGCCACAGCCACCTCTCACCTCACCAACGCCTCAGCTGAAAAAAGACTGAGCCCCTGTCTCCTCCCACCTTACATTCCTTTCTCCACCCAGCCATATCACTTCCTGTCTCAACCTCCCTAGTGCTGGGATTAAAGGTATGTGTGTGTGCCTCCCAAGTACTGGGAGCAAAGGCATGAGATCCCAAACGCTGGGATTAAAGGTGTGTGCCATCACTGCCTGGCCTCCATGGCTAACTAGTGGCTGGCTTTGCCTTCTGATCTTCAGGCAAGCTTTATTTGTTAGATCATACACAAAATATCACCACAGAAGGTGTTTGAGGAAGACACTCAGTGTTGACCTCTGACCTTTCTGCACACGTGTACACACATGCACATATGTGTGTGCAATGCACTCAGGGCTCAAGAAACAGAAGGAACATCTCAGGACGTTTTTAACCCCCAGGAAGAGGCCTCTGGGTCTCCTGGGACTTCCCAAAGATTTGACCACTGGGGAGCCTGAGGAAGCTCCTTGGGCTCTTGGCTCTGTTCCAAAGATGTCATCGTGGACATGCCACAAACCAGGCCAGGCTCAAGGCCTGCCTGGGCACAGGCTTGAGACGGTGGAGTGTGTCAATTGTGAGGGTCTTTAATTTTTAAACTTACATGATTTATGTATTTATTATTTATTTGTGGGAGGGGGCTTGCCCACATGGTGCACATGTGGAGGTCAGAGGACAATTTGGAGATGTCACTTTTATCCCTCCACCGTGGGGGTTCAGGGCATTGAACTCAGGTCGTTGGACTTGGTGGCAAGCCCCTTTACATGCTAAGCCATCTCTCGGGCTCTCTGAAATGCTTTGTGACTTGAATGCCTTGTGGAAGGGGTTGTAGCCTGGACCCACAGGGGTCTATAGCCAGACAGCTTGGTCCTCAGCTTCCCAGCCCAGCAACCTCTGCTCTGATGGACATCAGCTCCGTTATCCAGAACGGCTAACAGTCATTTTCTATGGCTATGACAAAACACTCGAGGTTGGATACTATATGCAAAAAAGAGATTTCTTTGGCTCACAGCTTTGGAAGCTGGACATCTAAAGATCAGGCAGCCCCAATCTGTTCACCAGTAAGGTCTCAGGGTGATGGCATTATGATGGGGGTGATTACATGTGAAGACCTCTGGGAGGCTCAGGGACAGGCTGGTTCATTTGGTGACAGCCCACTCTCAGGAGAACTGGGATCCCATGAGAACATTAATCTCTTCCTAGAGAAATGCATCCTTAGCCTAATCACCTCCCCATGTCCCACCTCTTAAAGGTCTTACTACCCTAACACCGCCTCCCTGGGGACCAGGCTTCCAGCACACAGGCCTTTGGGGGACACACTCAAACCGTATCTGCGGCACAGCAGTTGAGAACCCTGAAGACTGCTGGCTGTGCAGTTGCTTGGCTGTGGTACATGCGAAGTGCTGGAGGAATCTATCTAGGCTTCGAGAGGCACAGGGATGCTGGGTACCAGGTGCCCAGGCCTATCCTCCGTGCTGGTTAGCTGTCCTCTTCAGACCCCAAGACCATCCCAGTGAGATGTCAGGTCCCCACTTATAAATAGGGAGTTGATGTGTAAGCAGGGTTGGTGCCAGGCTGGCTGAATGCAAAGCCTGCATCCTTTCACTAGCTAGTACCCTGCCTCTTGTGCGCCTGGCTTTCCAGAAGTCAGGAGCCACACAGGGGTCCAGACACTGCTCGCCTTTTTTGTTGCTTGTTTTTTCAAGACAGGGTTTCTCTGTGTTACAGTCCTGGCTGTCCTAGAACTCGCTTTGCAGACCAGGCTGGACTCAAACTCACAGAGATCCACCTGTCTCCATCTTTCAAGTGCCAGGATTAAAGTCATGCGCCACTACCGCCGGCTAAGGACACTGGTCCCTTAAGGAAGCATGTAGTTGTTACCACCATCTCAGACCCATTTCTGTCAATCAGCTGACATCAGGGCCCTCGGGAATTGCCATGGAGATGCCTGAGTCTGGGCTGTGATGATGCCTTCCTCTCCTGAGAGATCAGGAATGGCAGCCTGGCAGAAAGGCTGGGGCCCTTCAGCCAGCACAGCCATGGAGGCAGAGGGTCTGGAGACTTCTCACTCAGTGTGTGGGTCCTGGATCCCCAGCTGGGAAGAAGTGGAACATTGTAGCCCTGAAGTCTCTGGCCTGGTGCTTCTAGGTAGAACTTCAGTGAGAGCAGAGAGAATCAGGCATGAGAAGTCTGAGTCTAGACCTGCCTCTGTCCCTAACATGCTGTGTGACCTCAAGCCAGCCATGTCCCCTCTCTGAGCTTCAATCTGGCTAATTGCTAAGATGTCTGGGGGCAACTTTTGGCCCTCTTGCCCATGGCCATTAGGAATCTTGGTAGTATTCCTAGAGCAGGACTGGCAGGTTCTTCACCAGTAGAGGGCAGCACCTGCCCGGGAAAAGTCCCGGTGTCTCTATGTCTCTGGACACAGCCCCTTCCGGGTGCCCCCAGTGCTGTCCTGTCCAGAGAGACAGTCGGCGCCTGAAACAAGGCTCTGAGAGGCCACCCAGCCAGGGGCTGGAAGCAACAGAAGCAGGAGGCTGTATCAGAAGCCAGTGGCTCTCAGTGACAGCTGCTGCCAGTCAAGCCCGTGTTTTCCTTACACAACCCACCCAGTCCCCTGTCCCAGTGGGTCCTTCTGCAGAGGGGTACTGATGCAGAGCACCTTTACCTCATTTTCACCTCCTTACGGCTCTCTGGAGTCATGTGGGAGGCCATGGGGTGCAGGAGCAAGCGGGGCCCTGTCACTCACTTCCTCTTTGACCTAGTGCTGGCCCTGGCCTTCTGTGGACTTTTCTTTTCCATCTACAAAATAAAGTGCTTGGATGAGGGCGGGGAGCCTAGTGGTCATCAACAAGCCCTATCTAGAAGCTGCCTGGTTCCAGAGTCTATGGACGGATATAGAGCATCAGTCAGGCCTTTTCTGGACAGAAGGTTCTAGAAGAATGATGGTCAAATATGAAGCATAGGAAACTGTATGTGGCATGTGGCACTTCCTTGGCCCCCATCCTGAGGGATTCTCATGGGGGGGGCAATGGGCTCAGAAGTATGTCAAATATTGGCATTTTGGCACCTCACTGATTGACCTACCTATACTATCTCTGTCTCTACAGCTTGGGGGTCTGGTCCACAGTCCTGTCAACTGTCCCCTGCTGGGCTTCTCAGCTGTCAGCACTTCCCTTCCACAGGGCTACCTCTGGGTAAGTAGTCCCTTTGCCCAGTCAGGGGGTGGTGGTGGTCTGTCCTCAGGATGGGGACAGAGAGGGTGACTCTCAAAAAGGGTTCTGAGAAAGCCACCCTCCTGTCGAGCAGCCCTATCTATCAACCTTTGGGGGTAGGAGGTGGGGGAGGCATGGAGCCTTATCCAGGGTAATGGAATCCAGGGAGAGTAGGGCTTTTGCAAGGGACCAGACCTCTAGGAGAGGGATGACTGTAAGCCATGTAGAGACCTAGGTTGCAGAGGTCTGGATTGCAGGAGGTCTGGATTGCAAGAGACCTGGGTTGCAGAGGTCCAGACTGCAGGAGGCCTGGGTTGCAGAGGCCTAGGTTACAGAGGTTTGGATTGCAGAGGTCCAGACTTCAGGAAGCCCAGCTCAGAAGAGGTCACAGGAGGCCCGGATCTCTGGCCTCACTGGGGCTTAGGCATCAGCACTGGCTCTTACTCATCTCACATGGAGCTTCCAGCCACCTTCTCTACTTCCGAGGTTCTCAGCAAAGCCCTGTCTTGTTTTAAAATGAGGGGCCCCATGCTCCTTGGGTTGCTGTTTGTGTCCTCCTATTTCTAAGGTTCTGACTTCTCCATCCCTGGCCAGCCTCTCTCACATGCTCCTTCCCATCTCTGGGCACTTGTGCAGCAGAACCGTGGCTTACCCTTCAGACTGTAGTACAAATGTTGATTTTTTTTCCCCTCATGCTGTTTCCCAATTATCATCCAGCACCTGGTGAATCTATTCATCTATGCATGCATGCATCCACTTACCCTGTCCATCCTTCATCTGTTCATTCCTCTATTCATTTGTGCATCCATCCCTCCATCCATCCCTCCATCCATCCCTCCATCTATCCATCTCTCCATCCCTCCATCCATCCATCCATCCATCCATCCATCCATCCATCCATCCATCCATCCATCCATCCATCCATCCATCCAATCATCCATCTAACCTTCCACCCTTCCACACACTCACCCACCAACTACCATTTACCATCCGATTGCCCACTCACACATGCATGCTTCCTTCTATCCATCACTTGACAGGCATACACACTGGGTGCCTACCATGAGCCAGACACAAAACAAACAGTGAACAGGACAGAGGGTCATTAAGGAGACAGAGTGGCTCATTGGATGTTACTTGGGAGGTCTCTATGGAGGGGAAACTGGAAAGCTGGCTGGGTATTTCGTCTACTCAAGCCTTTCTTGATTTCCTTTGGCCCCTGAAACTAATTTGTTTTCTTGTAGCTGGGAGAAAGTGACCATTGTGAGTGCAGGCTGTGTGTGGGCTGGACAGGGGAATTTCCTCCCCATTACTATCCCCAATGGCTGTGTGTGTGTGTGTGTGTGTGTGTGTGTGTGTGTGTGTGTGTATGTATGTATGTATTTGTGTCTGTGTATATATATGTAGTCGTAAGTTTTTCTGGTCCCACTCAGCCCCGTGGTCCTGTGTTTCTCCGGTCCTGCCCGGCCCCGCCTGGCCCCACAGTCCCACAGCCACTTATAAAATAATCACTCAGAGGCTTAATTTTAAATGCAGATTATATGGCCTATGACTCAGTCTTCTCGCTAGCTAGCTCTTACAACTTAACTCAGCCCATTTCTATTAATCTATGCATTGCTATGTGGCTTCGTGGTTTACCGGTATATTCACATCTTGCTTCTCCTGGTGGTGACTTGCAGCATCTGCCTCGACTTCTTTGTCTCGTCTTCAGTTTGAATGTACCACCTAACCTTATCCTGCCTTACCTTTGGCCAAACAGCTCTATTTATCAACCAATCAGAGCAACACATATTCACAGCGTACAGAAAGACACCCCACAGCACTTCCCCTTCTCTATCTAATCAAAAAGGAAGGTTTTAACTTTAACATAGTAAAATTACATATAATAGAACAGTTATCAAGCAAGGATTACAGTTACAATATCTGGTCTATTTGTATTTGGCAAAATTAAAGAAAATATTCTATCATCTATCCTATATTTGTGAGTTTAAAGTTTTATATCTAATTTTTTTTTAGTATAACCAAGGTAAATTATAACTAACTAGTCTTCAACTACATCAGAGACCTCAGAAGGATATAATATTACCCAAGTACACAGGAGTACATTGCAAGCAACTTCCACAATTCTAGAAATAACAGAAACATCTGGCTGCCTGGACAGTCACCCAATGTTCCTTTGTAACATTGTGGCATCCATCTTCAACCTATAAACCTAGAGTGTCTGGTAGACTTTTCAGAAGCAAGAAATTTGAAGGACTGTTCTGCCTAATGGAAAAGTTCATCAGTTGCTTTTCTCTTTGTCCTGCAGAATGTCTGGCAGTTTCTTTTGTGAAGCAGGAAACTGGAGGACCATCTTGCCTTGATTTGGCAAAGTTCAATGGTCACTTTTCTTCTTCTTTTTTTTTTTTGTTTTGGTTTTTCGAGACAGGGTTTCTCTGTAGTTTTGCGCCTTTCCTGGAACTCACTTTGTAGACCAGGCTGGCCTTGAACTCACAGAGATCCACCTGCCTCTGCCTCCCCAGTGCTGGGATTAAAGGCATGCGCCACCACCGCCTGGCTCAATGGTCACTTTTCTATGGGTCCTGCATGTTCAGTTTATACAACATACTGTCAAGCAGTCCAGGCAAGAGCAGTTTCTTGCCCAAATGGCTAGCCTTTTCCACATTGTAAGCAAACTCCATAATGACTTTCTTTGGTGCCCGTCATCCTCTCTGAAGTAATTGGTGCTGCCAGGAGCAGATGTGTCTTGTTGTCCAGAAAAGTCTAAGTTCTTAAAACATTTTAAATGCCATATTCTGCAGGTCTTTGAAGTGTTTGAAGATTACCTACCTAATTGAAATATATCTTTGTATACCTAGAAAACTTAACTAGCATGACTATAAGTTTGATTGTCATAGATGACTATTAATATATATTTCTTAATGATATAATGTTAAATGAGTTGCATAAACATAATACCTTAAACAAGAGTAGAAATATACATACACTATAACAAAATTGACCTTAAATTTGTATTAATAAACCAAAATCCATACCAATGTAAAGTATTTTGAGATTAACAGTTGTTTTTTTGGATCAAAGTAGATTCAATAATCTATCTTTTTACATCATTTTTCTGTCATATGTATGTCTGTATATGTATGTGCCTGTGCATCTGTGTGTTTGTCCGTGTGTCTGTGTCAGGGTGTGATCCCTGGGAGAGTGTGCTCTACTCACGGGCCTGACAGCCTCTCTGGGCCTCTGCTTCCAGGTTGGAGGTGGGCAGGAGGGTGCTGGTGGCCAGGTGGAGATCTTCTCCCTGAACCGGCCTTCGCCACGCACCGTCAAGTCCTTCCCGCTGGCAGCCCCCGTGCTCTGCATAGAGTACATTCCGGATCCGGAGGAGGAGGCTGAGGCTGCGGAGGAGAGCCGGGTGGCTGCTGATCCCTCCGCTGCAGTGCACCCCACCGTCTGCCTCGGGTTGCAGGATGGCAGGTGAGGGGCAGGAACATGCGTGGGGATGGCTGGTGCTGCCAGGCAGATGGCTGCAGGTCATCCCTCCAGCTCTGTGGGTCACTAACCAAAGCACTCTTCCCCAGCTTGGTGGCACCAGGAAGATGGGAACTGGAGACAGCCAGTGCAGACTCTCAGTGCCAGGAGTGGCTTATGTCACAGCCGACAGCTCCCCATAAATCTGGCACCACTTCCTGGCTGTGCATCCTTAGACACACCATGTCAAGTCAGGTTCTTCTCTGTGGTGAAGCTCAGGAGTCCCACAGTCTCGCCATGTCGAGTTGTTGAGTCTCAGGTTCCGGTGGTCAGTGAGGCTTAGCACCCCCCACCCCCAACCGCAGGGCTGTGTGAGTACAGGAGGGCCGATCCTGCCTAATTGGGAGAAGACTGCCCAAAAGAGAATTCCCCGGCCTCTCTGCTCTTCACCATGTCCTATAGAAGGACAGACAGTGTGTGTCTCTGGAGTACCTACTATGTGCCTCACACATGCTGAGTGGGATCTCTCACGGTGACCTTGCAGCCTGGGGGCTATCTCCTTTCCCACACAGGGAGGGGCCAGGAAGAAGTGGTGGGGAGCCACACTTACCCCCCACAGTCCACGCTGGGACTGTAGCCTAGGGCCCCGTCTGGACCTGGGCTTAGAAGAGATCTGGTGAACACCTTTTGTTTTAGTTTTGAGCCAAGATAAATTTCATGTAATACAAAACCCACCATTTTAGGAGGGGGGATGGCAGTGTGGCTTGGTGGGTAGAGCACTTGAATAGCCTACACAAGGTCTAAGTCACATCCCTAGAACCTCAGACTGGGCATGGTGATTCATGTCTGTGATCCCAGCACTTGAGAGGTAGTGGCAAAGAGGATCAGAAGTTTAAGGCCATCCTTGGTTACATAGCAAGATCGAGGCCAGTCTGGATCACACTGTGACCCTGATTTAAAAAACAAAAAACAAAAAACAAAATGAAACAAATCACCATTTTAGCCTTACTAAGGAGCACAATTTGGTGGTTCCTGGCTATCACTACCTAGCTCCAGCACATTCTCATTACTCCCCAAAGAAGCATACACCCATCTCATCCTCTCCTTGGAAACTGCTCATCATCTTTGGCCTCTGAGAGCTTGCCTTCAGGCACACCCTACAAACGACATCTAGTGCTTCATGGCCTCTGTTCCTGGCTCCTCATTACTCTGCGCATGCTTCCAAAGCAGGCCGAGGAGTGTTGTCATGCTTTGTTCCCCTGTGGCACCACGGATCATGTGAGGAAGAGAGCTGAAGGTCAGCACTCCAGGTCCGCAGCTAGGAGTTGGTGGTTGGATTTGAACTCAGGTCTGAGTGGCACTGGAACTCAGCACCTTCCTCACTGTATTCTGGAGCCAGAGTCCTGACTTGTGACAGAAGCCAGGGCTCCTGTAGGAGGAACAAGCCTGGGCAGGTGAGGCCCACGCGCAGGTAAGAACCCATGGGTCACAATGCTGCTATTATCTCTCTTCAGCATCCTGCTCTACGGCAGTGTGGACACTGGTACCCAGTGCCTGGCAACCTGCAAGAGCCCAGGCCCGCAGCCCGTGCTCTGCCTGCGGCACAGTCCCTTCTACCTGCTTGCCGGCCTACAGGACGGGACCCTTGCTGCCTATCCTCGGACCAGTGGTGAGGACTGGCGGGTGGGTGTGATGGGGGTGGTCATCTGGGGCACCAAGTTGGGCCTGGATACTTTACTGAGAGATTGCTAAGGAGGCAGGGTTGGGACTGGCTAGCCCCAGGCTGGTGGGGATCTGAGACCTGATCTTCACTGGAGTCTAATGCCTGGTTCCCACGTGTGAATCCTTGTAAAAATAGAACATTTACTTCTCTGCCAGTAATCAAGCTCTAGGGGACAGTCCTCTGTGCGCTGGGAGACTGAGGGTGGTCTTGGAAAGACCTGGCTTCTTGCCCTGTGACAGCTGTGTCCCCAGTGAGTGGAGCCTTCTTTGTGCCTTGGGCTCTTTCATAGAGTGAGACTCGGGTGGTGCCCACCCCTCTTGGTTCTAGCAAACAAAACAACTCAGTATAGACCGGACACAGGGCCAGGATGGGTACTGAGAAGGGGAGGTACCATTGGGCTGTCACTGTCCGCCGAGCTGTCACCGGCCATGTCACTGAACCTGAAGCAGGAGGCTGGTGGTGCTATGCGGCAGCCGTGGGCACCACACTCCAGTGCTCCAGGAACAGTGTCAAGGATGTGATGTGCTACCCTGGAGAGTCACCTCTGTTCCAGGTACCAGGATGCTGAGCCTGGGGGAGGGAGAAGCACAGTTTCGTTCACAGCCATGTGAGTGCTGTGCACGGTCCCTGAGCCCCGAGGCTTGCTCAGCCCCTAGATTGATATTGAGGACCCAGTGGCAAGTGTGGTAGCCCCAAGACTCTACAGCAGTGTCTCCCCCCCTCCTTCCGCCCCCAGCTCAGCTCTGATCTGATGACTGCGTCATCCTTGCAGCCTGTTGCGGGGTTATAAACGGATATTTGCAGTGAGGGTTCTTTTTTCCTATTTGGCACTATGTTGGTATTTTTAATTAGCTTTTGATAAGGCATTTATAGTTTTTAATTAAAGGGGGAAGGAGGGAAAAAATCCCTCTTACCATCAGACGGAGCAGAGCATGTGTGTGAATGTAAATCCTGGCTCAGATGTGCTGAGGTAGACAGGAGGGTCTGAAGGGACCACCCACCCTCCTCTGTGCCCTAGACACCATGACTCCAGCTTCATCCAGCTCTGGCTACCTGTGTGGATGCTCAGGTGGGCGGGGTAGGGCTGCTGTAGCTAAGTACCACAGCAGTGGCTCAAACAGCAGAAGTTCAAGATCAAGACTCTTGAGAAGGGTCCATCCTAGGCTTCTCTGGCTCTCAGTGACGTCTTGACTTGTAGTGACATCACTCAGGTCCTCATGGTCCTCATGAGGATGTCTCCCTGTTCATGCACCTTTGCGTCCCAATCTCCCCCTTTATAAGGATGTCTGTCACATCTGTAGGGTTACTGTCTCCAAGAAAGACTATATACTGGTCCAGGGTTAGGGTTTCAGTGAGTGGATTTTGGGGAGACACAGTTCAGTCCCTGATGGAGTTTTGGGTTTAGCCATTGGCCTTTAGCCTAGGGCTGGAGCTTGCTAGCTTATCAGAATGGAGAACCCATGGGGGTATTACACTTTATCTCCTCACTTTTGGGGGATCTTCCTTGCAAACATTTGCTCCCCCAATATGTATGAACACTTACCGTGTGCCATGGATATGCTGGTCAACAAAAGAGACATGCCTCCTGCCCTTATGAGGTTTAAAGTCTACAGAGGGAGGTCAGAATAGCCATGTCAGCAGGCAAGAAGCTAGGGGCTGCTGAGGTAAGATTGGGGTCACTGTTAGAGCCTGACTACCTAGTAGGGTGGACTGAGTGCCTGGGGCTCATCCCAAGAGGCGGGCCCTGAAGCTGAGAACCGAGAGAGAGGTGGCCAGGCAAGTGGTAAGTTAAGGGAGCAGTGTTTGGAGCAGAGGGACCAGTTGTGTGTGAAGGCCAGAGGCAGGAGTTTGCCTGGCATCGTGGAGGCCCCAGAGAGGAGGCTGCAGGGCTGGCTAAGAGCCAGGGTAGATGGCACTGGGCAAAGTCTGGGGACGAACATCTGCTCATGAGGATCTTGAGTTTGTCTCAGCCCATTGGGATGTAGAGAGAAGCATGACAGTCTAGACACTGGCTCCTTTGACAGGAGGGCAGGTGTGCCTGGCATTGCATCCTCTCCAGGATCCCATTCTCTGGGTGTCTGGTTTGACTGTGGCTATCATGAAGATCTTCCCTTCTCTGGGCCCCCAGCCATCTTGTGGTGTCCTAAAGAGGTGATCCCCAGCCTGAAGCCAGACTCTTAGGACCACAGTACCACATGGTTTAAAAGAGGCCTCAGAGTCCCCTTGGTTCAAGAGCAGAAGCCTTGCTCTGTGCTGCCCCTGGGCCAGCCTCAAGGTACCCTTCTAGAACATCTCCAGGGTGCTCCTGGTGGCCAGGAGTGTCTGGGAAGCCCAGGCTTCACAGCTACATCCTGGGGCTGGTGCTGGATGAGATGTGTACAGTGAAGTGACAGTCTCCTTACCTGTGAAACGGGGGTGCAGACAGCTCCTCCTCACAGGCTGCTTGTGAGGGTCACATGTGCAGATGTCCCCAGGGCCTACAATGGAGCCTTCCCCGGAGTGGGCCCCTCTCAGCCTCAGTGGCTTTCACTCTGTGTCCTGCTTCCCGGCACCAGCCAGATCTGGACCCCTGTGGGAGACCAGCAGTCTGTGTCACCTGAGGCTGGGAGAGGAGGGATGCTGGCACCCTGAAGGTGCCTTTGCTGAGACAGGCCTTCGTCTCTGCTGACCGGCTCTGCCAGTGTAGATGAATGGGCTGTCACCCAGGGGCGGGTGTGGGCCCGCCAGCGCAGGCTCTGGATCGTGTTTACTTACAGCTACCCAAGGGTTGGGAAGTGGGGAGGGCCAGTGGAGGGGGCAGTCCCTTGAGCCCTGCCCAGCCTCAGTAATTACCTTTGTAGTCCGTGAAGCCGGTAAAATGGGGGCTGGAAGGACCTCAGAGGACAGTCTGTCAAGAAAACCAAGTCCCAGCAAGGTCAGCAAGTCCAGGGTGCCTCTATGGACTCCGATGGGAGCTCCTGGCCACTCTCCACTCTGATATAAATTTATATTGAATTTTATCACAGTTCCTTGCTTTGGAGGGCTTCTGGGGACAGCAGCCCACAAAAGTGGGGTGGTCAGTGTCCATGTGACCCTCAGGACTTCAGCGGCTGTGATGCACTGTCCTTGGGTGACAGGTGCAAGGGTTCCCCCACCATTGCTGCTGTGCCCTTGGGTGAACCCCAATCCCAGCCTCTGAGATGCTACCCCATCTTTAGCGCCTTTCCTCAAGTGTTTTCCCATCCACTTCTTAGCCATAGTGGCGGAAGCTTTGGCATCTGGCCACAGACACTGCTCACCTCCTGCCACTAGGGGGGGCTCAAGAGCCTTGCATTTCCCTGAATCTGGTGCCCTGGGTCCAGGGTCACATTCCTATGGAGATCTGCCTCCTTTTGGTCACCTACCCCTCCCAGACACCAGTCCCAGCACAGGACTGGTAGTAGGGCTTGGAGGCAGCCAGGCCAGACCCAGCTGTGGGTTTAAATGCTGCTTGGCTTGACACTCCTTGGGTGAGTTACCCGGGTTCTCTACTCTGGGCCTCTGCTGTCACCTTTAATTAAATGGCGCCAGCATTGGCTTCTGTAGACTATTGGGAGCCAGTGAGCAGGGACAACTGTGCAGTTGTGTGACTTGGGTAATTGAACTTGCAGCGAGTGAGTTATAAGTCAGGGCTAATGACAGTATCTGCCACACAGGCGTGCGGGAGGTAAAGAATTCATTCATGAGCACACGGAAGCGGATGGGACTCAGTGTTGGCCACCGGCACTTTTTACCAGTGCCACATGCTGTGTTGGGGTAGCATACACAGTTACTTGACTCCTTGCAGTATCTGAGGAGTGGGTGTGTGTGTGTGTGCATGGCCATCACATCCATTTTAGAGATGAGGGAACCAAGACTCAGAGAGGTCAAGTCTTTGACCAAATGGACATGGGAGTTAAGAGCCACAGAGTGTTCTGGTCTGGCCTGCTTGCTATGTATGTGGTCATGCTCTGAGCTGGATGGAGTGGTACTATGTATGGGAGGGGGTTCCCTAGTTCTTAATTTATTAGCTTGGGCTGGGAGTATGAAGCAGGGTTCAGGGGGAGGCTAATGATGGGGGACACGCTAACCACATGTGGCCAGGAGACAGGGTGAGGAGTTTGGTGGCTTTCCCACATAACTTGGGGTCCTCCGCCTCTGGGGACAACTGTGCTCGGTCTTCCCACACAACATCTGGCTCAGAGGAGGGTATGTCTGTGGTGAGTGGCTTTGTGTTCCTTCTGGGGACCTAGAGGAGGGGTGCGGGGGGGCTGCAGGGCATCAGTAGCTGACTCTGTCCTGCCTTCCTGGCCCCAGTCACTGTGCCTGCAGCTCCAGGGTCTCCCCCACAGACCCCTCACTGGGCCTCAGCTCCCCTCAAGCCTTCTTCCTGCCCAGCGCCCTGACAGCCTAGGGCAGCCACTGGGGCTTGGTGCAGCTTGAGATGTGACTTCAGAGAAGGCAGTGTTGAGCCACTGTGCTCGGGTGCAAGGAGGGGGTTCTCAGTGAGTGGGCATGGGTGGGGGTGGGGAGAGGAGATGCCTGTTTCTGGCCAGGCTGCTGCTGTGGTCCCTGGGAACAGCAGATGGGAATGTCACCTCTCAGAGCTCTCCTCCCTGCATCTGGTGGCATCTCTGGAGGGGAAGATCTTGGCAAAGTGACAGGAGCATCAGGTGGCAGGGTCTGAGGGAAGTCCTCCAGCTCTGCAGATGAGCTGGGGTCTCCATGAAGTCCCTTCCTCCATCCAAACTGGGACTTGGAGAGGCTGAGGAGAGGTGCACTCAAGACCCGTAGCAGAATCAGGGCCACGCTGGTCACAAGTCCTGGAACTCTGGGGTCCTCCTACCTTCTGGCAGGTACTAGTGTGGAGGTTGCCTCTCCCAGAAGCCCCTGTGTATCTGTCCACCACGTGTGTCTGCACCTCGGTGCTTGGCACATCCGCTCGGAGCTGGCGGCCGCTGTCTCTACCCAGTGTGGTTCGCCAGAGGGCGGGGCCTATACCTGCGCCTGTCTCTCTTCTCAGCTCATAGCCCAGCTGGTCATAGGTGCTTTCTGAGTGTGTGTGGAGTGAATGAATGAGGGAGAGAGAGAGAGTCAGGGAAGGAGGGAAGTCAGGGTGGTTCCCAGGGCAATGGAGTATAGTGTCAGTCACCCCGGTGACATGAAGCTGAAGGACCATGGTGGGGGAGGGTGTATGGAGCTTGCTGAGTTCCCCCTGCAGGGTCTCAGCCACTGACCTGTGCCCTTCTTTCCCATAGGTGGAATTCCCTGGGACCTGGAGAGCCCTCCCATGTGCTTGACTGTGGGCCCAGGGCCCATTCGCACACTACTGAGCCTGGAAGATGCCGCATGGGCCAGCTGTGGCCCAAGGGTCACTGTCCTGGACGCTGCCACTCTGCAGACTCAGGTACCAATACTACAGAGTCCCTGCTGGGACACAGGGACGCAGCCACCTTGTGGCCTGTGCTCTTGAAGCAGAGGTATAGGTGGAGGCCAGCAGTGTGTCGATGCTGGGATGCTGGGATGCTGGGATGCTGGGATGCTGGGATGCTGGGACGCTGGCCTGGCCGCCTAGCCTATGCCAGGCTTACCTGCCCCATGCCAGGCTTACCTGCCCCACCTTACCACATTCTGTGCTCCATCGTCAGTGGCTGATAGGAGCTTTGTGATGGCTTCCCAGATGGTATTTTGGTGACATTTGCCATTGTTGATTTGTTTGAATTATTGATCTGATCAGATATGGCGCCAGACCCAGAGGGGAACCTGGCAAAGGTCCCTAGACAGGCAGGCTCCTCAGACATGCACCCTTGTGTGGGCCTGTTTTCCTGTCTCCAGTAGATTCTCTGTCTCGGACACCTCCAATTTGATACTTGATAGCTCAGGCACTAGGCAGAGCTTGGTGCTGTTAGCTTTTAGGTGGCTAGGGTAATGTCCTGGAGAGCTCTGTCCTCACTGGATAGGTGGGGAAACTGAGGTGTGGGTGCTGTGAATGATCTCTAGGAGTGTGTGTGTGTGTGTGTATGTGTGTGTTTGTGTGTGTGTTGAACGCTCGGAGTCCTGGGAGATGTGAGCTGCTAATCTTATCTGTGTTCTTGCTTTTGCTGAAGCCTAGAGGTGAGTGAGCATCTGAGTCTGCACATGGGTCTGTGGCCAGTCCTCGCTTGGCCAATGAACACCTTCATGCTGGCCCCTTGGGAACACTGGCTTCTGGTCCATGAATGAGGGTGACATATGTCTTCCCCAGGGTCCTGTGGCTCCCTTTAGGAGGCAGAACCAAGAGGTCTGTAAGTGACCTAGGTGAGGAGGCTCATGTAGGGGTGGAAACTGAGGCCGTCTTGGAGCCGGAGGCCCAGGAGAGCCAGGGTGTGGTTTAGTCTGACACACAGGTCTGAGAACCAGAGAATCACTAGGGCAAATGCCAGTTTGAAGCTGGCAGTCCGAGGACCCCAAAGCTCCAAGCTTTCTGCCTGGTTCTGAAGGTGGGAATACCTTCCATCTGCCTTAGCTACAGAGGCAGAGAGCCCTTCTCCCTTCTCAGCTGTGGTGGTCGCTGGACCAGGCGAGGCCCACACACTTGGGGAGGCCATCTGCGTGACTCTGCCTACAGGTCAAATCTTCCTCTTCTACCAAACACCCTCACAGACACACCCAGAGTCATGTGTGACCAGCTATGGGGACACTGTCAAGTGGTTGCCTGAAGTAACACTTGAGTGGGCCACGTGGAGGGAGCTTCAGTGCCGGCCCCCACCAGCAGGGGGGGATGTGATGGACATGGAGTTGGATGACTGACCTTATGCCAGCTCCTTAGCAGGGGAGGTTGTGTTTTGTGAGCCCCAGGGCAAGTTGTGAGACGTGTGTGTGTGTGTGTGTGTGTGTGTGTGTGTGTGTGTGTGTGTGTTTGTGTGTACAACCTTGGGTGTCATTCCTCAGGTGCTGTCCACCTTTATCGAGACAGAGTCTCTCTGACCCTGGGATTCATCAATTAGGCTGGACTGGCTGACTGTGTTCCCCCAGGACCTGCCTGTCTCTGTCCCACCTTCACCCCCCAGTGCTAGGGTACAAGCATGTGCCACCATGCCCTGCTTTTTTTTTTTTTTTTAAATATGTATTCTGGGGATTGAACTCATGTCTACATACCATGCCGTCTCCCAAGCCCCATGCTGCCCTTCATAGAGAGGAAGCTGGTGCTTATGGGAGCTCCTTAGCTACTCCCATGGGGTCTGTCCCATTCAGAGGCTCCTTGAGCATGGCACTGAGGACCTGTAACCTCCCTGGTACTGTTGGGCCAGACCAGAGGCCAGGGAGGTGTGGCCAGTGAGACCACAGCCTGATTTCTTGTTTAACTGAAGAGTGGGGAGGGGACCTAGTGACTGTAACCACAGACCCTCGTCCTGCCTCCCTGATGCACCCTGGAAGGCTTCTCTGCCAAGACCCCGCCCCCCATCACTTCCCTTCAAGGCCCTGTCACCTCCTCTACTTGTGAAAGAAGGTGGGTGAGATCAGCTGGCATGCCAGGTCCTGTGGTCCCTGAGAGCTAGTCCCACAGACATGTCTTTCAGGGAGGGAGTCCTCTTTCAGGGGAGCCGAGGATGGTGGCCGCTGTGGAGTTGGGGATCAGGCTTATAGCTGAGGAGGTGGGAAGCTGGGCTACCTCTCCTAGACTCCCTGACTATCTTATAAACATGAGCAGTGGCGGCTTCTTAGAGGGGAGCGTTGGCAGGATGGTTAAATGCAGCAGCCCCACCTCTGTATCAGCCACTGTTGGTCCATCTCTGTTGGTAGGGTAGCCTGCACCCCTGGAGGGAATGTAGTTTGTGAATAGCACTGGGATAGGAAGCTGGTTTTGTCTCTGCTGGGCTTTACGACCTTGGACGAGTCACTGAACCTCCCTGTGCATGGTGGTTAGTTAGACATCCATTGTCCTTATTTGCCTAGCTCCCCAACTTTTGTCTGTGTGAGGCCTAGAGGGCCAAACTGCTTGCCTGGACTCAGACGTCAGTGGTGTGGGCCTTGTCGGCCTCCGTCAGCAGCGCAGGCCTGCCTCCCTCTCGATTCGTGGGAAGAAGCTCCATCCCCTCCCATCCCAGGAGTGTGAGCTGGGCACAGAGGAGGTTTGTAGAGCCTGTGTGGGCTGCTCTCACTAGATTCTGCCCCTCTGCGGCCACAGTGCTGTCTGGCTCTGGCCGACTGTCCCAGGGCTCCAGGGACCTCCTGGCTCCTGTGAGGCTGTGCCGATTTAAGATTAGTGCTGGACCAGCGGCAGGATCAGTATGGCCTTTCACCTCCTCTGTACGCCTGGCAGGGAGTCCAGGGCCACTGGCCAGGGAGTCCCAGCAGGAGGTGCTGCAAAGCCAGTGGGTGGGCGTTTCTGGGCAGCTGGGAAGTTTCTGTGCAGGTGGGTGGCAGCTCGCCTCCCCCTCCCCCCATACATACGCCACGGTAGTAGCTCGGTTACAAGATCACACCATGTATATTTAATAGAGCCGGCCTCCTGCCTGAAAGGAGGGAGCTGCCTGCTCTGGCATTGTGCTCTAGAGCTGGCTCCATCTGGCTGCTGTTAATGACCAGAGACTCGGTCCTGGGCTAGCCGGCGCCAGGCTTGCTTCTGGGTCCCTGGCAGGACTAGTCCTGGGGGAGCCTCCAGAATGTCCACACATTTCTGTCTGTGGTCGTGCTGAGCCTGGGTTCGGCACCTGCAGGGTCTTCGATGCCCCGGCACGGTCCTGGGTTCCAAGAGAGCCCTCTGAAACACCTGCCTCATGTGACTTCCCCCAGGGTTGAGGAGGACCATGGGGAGGGAGCATGCTGGAAACTTAGCATCAGCTAGCGAGTGTCCCAAGCTAGAAGACCTGGCTGTGCAATTCTCATGGCTGGGGTACAAGGTGAAGACACCAGGGTTAATCTAGGTGTCTCCATGCCCAGGAAGGGACAATGGGTTTTGTTGGACCTGGCCTGGACTTATGTATTTTACATATAGAAACTCATTTAATCTTTGAGCCACCCTCTGCTAGGGGTGCTGTTCCCACTTAAAAGACGAGGAATCAGGCACAGAGAGGTTAAGTAATCCACCTGAGGTCACACAGCTAGAAAGAGGCAGAGTCAGGGTTTGAGCACAAGTCTTATGGGTCTTAATTCCCAGGCTGTCTGTCTCAACAAAAACGAGGTTCTGTCTCCTCTGGGATGTCACTCTGGGGGACCCCATTATGAGCCTGCATCTTCCACTACTGCGTTTTCCAGGTCGATTGTGCCTTGGTCACCCTGTGTCTGGTTCATTGGTGGTGACAGCAGGCGCCACTTAGCGGACAGTCCTAGTGGGCAGGTGTTGGGTGCAGTGTATGCCCCCCCCCCTCCAAGTCCTCAGGCACTTAGGGGACCAAGACGAGCAGGACCTGGCCTCTGCTCTTCAGGAGTTCAGAGTCTACTGTGGAGAGAGGCCAGGACTATGGTATTACCAGGCATGGTAAGGTACTGGTGTAGCTGGGACCCAGGGAGGCAGAAGCAATGCCAGCCCTAGCTAGAGGGGACACAGGAGCTGGGACTCAGGGCTGGGCTTGCCTGGGGAGGTCGTGTGTGACATGTGACGAGGGGAACGGGGTCTCAGTCGGGAGGAAAGCAGCAGGAGTCAGGCCCATGTCAGGGAGCTGGAGGTGAGCATGGTACCAGGTGGCAGGGGAGTGGGGTGGATCTGGGGCCACTGAATTGGGCACTGTTTCCTCAGCCCACTTGGCGGGGTCCCTACCTCCACCCTGACCTTGTTCGGCCCCGCCCCGATGGTTCTGGGCCACCACTGCCTCTGGGTTTTCCGTTTACCACCGATTGCTTGTTCGGCTCCGATTGCTTGTTCGGCTCCTTGATCCCGGCAGAGGCAGAAGCGAGGCCTGTTAAATAATAATGTGGCTCACCAGGGCCTGTGTCAACACCGCATCCTCCTGTTCATTATCTGCATCGCCACCTTCAAAGTCTAATCCAGTCGTCTGGAGTTCATTCGGAGCGATCGCCGGAGGGGGAGCTGGCTGTGGGGTGATTGTTGCATCTTAATTAAAAAAAAAAAAAACTGATTGGGGATAGCAGGCCTGAGGGTGTGCTCTGCTGGGATGGGGTGGTGGGGTGTTAGGCAAGTCTGTTCTCACATGAGTCTTGGGGTCTCTGCCTCCTGTTCATGGGACAGGGAGGGGTGATGGAGACAGGGCTGGGCTGTGGGTGTCCTGGAGTGGTTAGATCTGGGTAGTGTTGCTGAGAGATGAACCAGCGTGGTGTGCGGACGGGCGCCAGTCGGGAGCAAGCCCTTTTCTCTTGTTGTATTTTAAAGATTTAATTTTTAAGATTTTTCAATTATGTGTGTGCATGTGTGTCTCTGTGTGGGTGTGTATCATGGGTCCGGGTGTCCACGGAGGCCAGAAGATGCCC